CCTCGCTCGATTCTTCTCCTTACGTCAAGCGGACCGTGACCTGCCTCAACGACGATGCGCCGTCGTTGCTCTTGCCGTCGTTGCGTACGTCTTTCGACATCCCAAGGAAACCGACGTCGCGTCCCTGCCCGACCAGATAGTTCGTTACCGGGGGGGAGGGGGGGGGGCGACTTTGGGCCTGGCGTATCGGCCTCTTGACTGTTCACGTATCGCTACGTACGATTAGACCAGGGTCTATTTGAAAACCAATGTCATTCTACTTATTGTTAATCGTGTAATTGTCCTGTTATTTATTACGTAACGATCGTTGGATGATTATTGATTAGAAAGAAGAAAAAAAAAGACCAACTTTTTCAGCGAATAATTGTGCGATAATGTTTTTGTTCTTTCGTGACGTCACTTTGGAATTTGTACATTCGGCGCGGCTGGGCCTTGTTGCGCGTGACACGTATATTACGATCCGAGGGACGAGGATGAATTATCTGGTAATAGTAAACGAAGTCGCCGCTAAAGTCTGACAATTGTTTGTTTCAGAATCTCTTCGGGATTACAATGGTCTCTCGGCTGATCTGTACAAGCCGTCGAATTACGACAAGCTTGCGCTGTCGCTCCTGTCGCCTCTACCCAACGAGCAAGACTTTGCGATCAACGTGTGCACCCTGCTGTCGAACGAGGGCAAGCACACCCTTAGACTCGACAAATATCCCCGGCTTGTAAATATACTTTTAGCGCACGCCGGTGTCTTCGACTCGCCCGGGACGCGACAGCTCTTCATAGAGGTCTACTCGCGAGTCAGGAATTACTCGATTAACTCATTTTGGTCGGACGTTCTCGACTCTCAGGACGTCATAGATCTCACGGACGAGAGGAGCTTCATGAGGAAAGCGCACACTGCGCCGCACACCTTCTCCAGGAGAAAAACGTTGGAAAAGGAGAAACAGAGTAAGGCCAACGGCTTACAGGATCCTGATGTTGCTCCTATGGACGTCGATGGGGTTAGATGATTTTTTATATTACACATTGAGAACCTGTCGTACTCTCAAGTGTTTAAACATAATTACTTTGTTCCTCAGGTATCGATAGACTGTTCAAGACTGGAGGAAGACGGCTCTCAGCAAGACGAGAGTGAAAAGGATCAGAAGCTAAGCTCGATAAAGTTCGAGGACGAGGACAGGGAACTCTTCTGCGTGGGTCGAACTTTGGGCACCCAGGATCCATACGGTCAACGTGTACTTCAGATAGCGTCTATTTTGCGAAATCTAAGTTTCACGCCGGAGAACGCGGTGGTCCTGGGTAGGAATAGGTGCTTTCTGAGATTCGTACTGCTGTGCGTGAGGTCCAGGTGGAGCAATTTGCATCAGCTCGGTTTCGACCTGCTCGGTAACGTGGCGAGCGAGATTATCTTGAAGGAGGCTGGTGAAAGGATAACCGACGTGGTGCTGTCGTGCGTGGCGAAAGGAATCGACTCCCAGGACAGGTTTATCGTTATTTCCTGTCTGGAGGTGCTTAACAAGGTTAGCCAGCAGGACAGCAACGAGGAGATCGTTACGTTTGGTCTGGATGACAGTGTGTACGAGATCATATGCAGGTAAGTACCGTCCTGACTACTGCGTACCCAGTTGCGTTTCTACTTGAGTAAATTGAGACCTTACAACTCTTGTTCTTGTCTGTTTATCAAGGTTTTTGGCTCTGAGCGACATAGCCCTTCTGGTATACACTCTTGAGTGTCTGTACGCTCTAACATCATTGGGCGAGAGACCGTGCACGAGCGTCGCGCGGGTACGCGGAGCAATCGACACGCTGGTCGCCCTGGTTACGGTGGAAGCACAGAGTTACGGACCAAAGGCTTGTATCCTGATGCGAGTCGTCGAGACGGTGTCCACCGTGGCAACACCGGCGACGCATGTACAGAGCGTCGCGGTCTCTGCTCCTGCCGCGCCAGTCGCGTCTGTCGCCGTGTCGGTATCAAGCGCCCCGACGACCGTGACAGCATCGCCAGCGCCAGTCAGTCCGTCTCCCTCCAGACCGACGACACCAGCTGCGACAGTGGCCAAGTCTACGACGCACAGTAAGACTTTTATTCATATTGACCCTTGAATCAATCATAGACGTAGAAACTATCTGCGCAAGCATCAAGTGTTGGCTGAGAGAACATTTTTCAGCGTGAATCTTGCATTTACCTATTGCTCAGCTGTTCGACCCTGATCTATTCATTGTTCATTGCTACAAACTTAGTCAGTCGGATTTTTCTTTTTATCTGTCTCTTCAGAAGCTGTGGAAACGGCTAACTCGATTCAGCAGCAGCACGCGCATCAGCAGATCATTCAAGAGAATGAACAGTTCGCTCTGGGATGGCTGAGGGCTACCTTTGAACTTGCACCTGGTGTACGGATCGAGCAGGAGGAATTGTACAAGAAGTATCTGGGTTGCTGTACTAAGATTGGCAGAAGGGGCGTGATAGCGCCACTTCACTTTCCAAGATGTGTCAGGTAACGGAGAATCCTCTACGTTCGTAGCTCTACCTGAAAACGTCGTATTGTACATTAAACTTTGATTTACAATGTTATTTATATTTCATTTCTATTCTCAGATCTGTCTTTGGCGGTACCGTCGGACCTAATCCAATAAAGGGCGAAACGTCGGGGAGCCAATACTACGAAGGTATCCGTGTTCGCGCGACACCCTCACCAGTGACTTATCCCGGGCAAACTGCAATTGGCGTAAACACAACATCGATCTCGACAATCAACACAACTCCAGTAAAGGTGCTTCCCGTACAACAGCGTACAGTCAAGACCATAAGTCCCGCCCCCGATAGCACGGCCCTAGAAAATCCTGCATCCGTCGCTCAAAGGACCCCAGCCCCTGCATCTCCCATCCTGAAGGCCCAGTTGTCTGCCCCACCGAAACCGTCCTCCACTCCAAATCAACCCCAGAATCCAGTCACCAAGGTTGACACTAAAAGTCAGGTGGGTCCGAGTCCTTAGATCTCTACAACGTTTATCAATATCCTTACTTCTCTTGAAACATGGCCGTAGCCTCTCGTGGTGACATTTTCAAATAATCCAGGCTTCTCCTAACAATAACGCGTGCAACGATACAATATACCACGGGACACAATAATATAACGGTGACGTGCATGTTAGGGATATTACATGGGATCACGAACATCTTGATCAGCTATTAGGGACCTTGACGTAATCGCGATTTGTCTACGGATCTTTAGATACATTTTTTTAAATACTTCATTCTTCTTTGAACTAAAACTATTTCAAATCTCGGTACTACTCACGTTTCCGTTGCGCTTCTCCCTTGCTCACCTTCTCTCTCTTCCCTCTACCCTTGTACTCGAATAACATCGTTTTTACGTAAATCAGTAACTCGCTGCTACTTTGGTAATCGAATCAGCTTCTACTCGCGGTCCTATCTGTCGGTAGAATTTAGATGATTCGTATCTGCCTTATATCTGGTAAACTAGAGAGGGGTCGTGTAATTTAATGGCGTCACTGTAACAAAGCCTACCTGAACGAAATTGAGGTGAATATTGATCTTTTTTTTTTTCTTTTTGAATGCCACTCGGGTAAGACAACTGTGTGCCTCAACGTGTAATCTGATTTTAATTTCCGGTGTTGGGCTATGGTTAAAGTGTTCACTGTACCAGTGTGTCATTGGTCATTAACATAGAGTTTTCGCAAGAGACCTGACAAATGAAAATTCTTCTCAGCTCTTTACTATGGTCCTCTCTTCGTGCTTCTTGGTAATAAAAGTCTTGAATTCATCTTTGATTCCTCGACGAATTCTTTATTTCTTCGTACGTATCTTTCACCACCAGGAGCGCTTCGTTCATTTCTTTTTTGTATACTTAATAATTTTTGAGCTCCCCATTCGTCGAGGCTTCAACTGTGGATATCCTTGTAAGCTAAAGTCCCTTCTTTAGGGCTGGTAATGGCGTCTCTCTAGTATTATTAGTGTATCGTGTACACCCCTATCGCTAGAGTCCTCTTGAGCATTGTTTGTGATTGGTGTGGATCAGGTGTCAGTGTCGCACCCCCACCTGAGCCAAGCGCTGCTGGCCAGTGGTTCTCAGGGCCAGCAACCGCAACTACAGCAGCAACAACCTCAGCAAGTCCAGGTAGTGACCAAGGAGGATACTCGATGTGGCACTACTTCCAGTTCCATTATTAAAAGCCTCCTGGCTACCAAGGTAACGGTCAGCGGCGACTGCATGCCCAGCGCCGCTGCGACTTGTGTGTCTGCCCCTACTGCCTGCGTAACAAACACTACCGCTAGCATCGCATCCAGCATCAGTGCCAACCAGCTAATAACCAGCAACCAGGTATCGTTGTTGTACAATAACAAGAAGAAATGTCAGAGTGTATTATGCGATGGATCTAGAGCCATTTTTTGCCATAAGCGAAGATTGTGATAGTATAGTTCCATTGGGGAAAAAAAAAATAATTGGCATGACAGTTCATTTATTTATTTATTTTTTTTTTAATTGATTTTACAAATTTTTATACAAAACTTCTTAACGGCGTCTCTCTGAACGTGACAGAGATTCGCAGGATGAAGAATCGCAAGACTCGTTTAGGATACACACACATTGCACACGAGATGATGAGAATTTTTTATTATTTCTACAGCTAAATATTATTTTTTGTAGTTGGGCTTATTACGTAGTAGTGTTTGTCCTCGTGTCGAGAGTTCTTTTGTTTTCCTTTTTGTTTTTGTATGTTTCATCTCCGAATTATCCTAGATACCCATCCGTTACCCTCCTGTCATAATCCAAAATTCCTTTTCGTTATTCGCCAAAACAATGAGCGTGAGGAGTCATTATGTAGCTTAACAGAGTGGTCTGATTCTATATTTGACATGACTTTAATACGGGCACTGATAACAGTGTGATCGATACTAACAGCAGCATGTGTTATTTGAGAATTAACGAAAACCCAGTACAAGTCTCGATGAGGTCCTAACAATGAAATATATTCGACGTACATTAGACACAAGGTTTTACTGTTGAACTTTAAGAAGAGAACGAGATTTTGCAGCATTGAATTTCTTTTTTGGAGAGTAGCTAACATTTATTCCATAAGGTGTCCCATTTTTTGGAAGCAATCATTTCTTAGACATTTTATTGTAGCACTTTGCGCGCTCTTTCTCACCTACAGTCTTTTACTTTGATAAAGGTTGCTCAACGCCAACAACAGCAAAGGCTACTTCAGCAACAGTTGACTGGAGTAATTCAGCCTGCTGCGCCTGCAGCGACACCTGCCACAGCGACAAACCCTAGAGGCCCTCCTGTTAATTCAAAGCATAAGCCAGCTATAGCACCTACTCCTGCCAAAAAGATACAAAGGCTCAACGGAGCTAAGGTCATCGTGACTAACAATTGTGACAAGGTAAACGTCCAAATAATTAATACAACAGTTGTTGCCTGGTTGATGCTTCTGAAGGAGACAACGGCTACTCTCATATTATAATGCTGCTAATTCTTTGTTTCAGACTGAAGTAAATGATAATGAAAATATGAATCAAACGGTGACATCCACAACGGTAATGTCTAATTCCACGGGGAATCACACGTCCTCGACGATAAAGGTTTGCCGGCCGCCACCGTTGGCGCCGTTAAGTGCGGGAAATAAAATAAATCAACGGACGGTTTGTACGCCAATCGCTGAGGATTCGGACTCTACGAACAATTCCCTAGCGTCTAGCAGTGGTATCGGTGGGAGTAGAGATTGTTCTGGTGTCGGTGCCGAGGAGGAGAATTCACTGACCAGTTTCGAAGGGATTCTCTTGAATGGTGCACCGAGTAATTTGGACATCGACGCACAGGACGACGGTTCGTCAAAGGACTCGTCGAGTTTGAGCTCCAAGGAGAAACCGGTTCAGAGTATGATGCTTGCTGATCTTCTTGAGAAGAAAGTAGACAAAGAACCGATAATGAACGGCGTGCTGGGTAAGAACTCTGTGAACGAGAAGGGCATGGATCTGGTGGAGAATCATATTGAAAAGGTGCTGAAGGAATCGCCAACAGAAATGAAGATTAAATCCGAGATGGAGGAGAACAGCGTGAGGCAGACTGAAGTGTCCGAGGATACGTTGATAGAGGCTCCGAGGGGTATGAAGAGGACAGCCAGTGAATCTGACGAGGTCGATGCCAAGAAGCCAAAGTATTCGAACGGCACGACGTCGCCGGATCCCGCCGTGGATTCAACCACGGTCGAGTCCACGGTATCCAGTTTGAAATCCGAGGATCAGGATGACGATAAGGATAGCGAGAAGGCTACCGTTTCCTCAACAGCCGCGAACCTGTACGCTGCCCTTGCAGCAGACTGCATAGAAGATGAAACGGATCTTGATGAGCAGGTCGCTGTTAGTAAGGAGGAACCTCCGGCGGTAACAAAGGAGGAACCACCTACGTTCATTGCTCAAGTAGAGCAGCAACAGCAACAACACCATCAGCAGCATCAACATCACCAGCCACAGCATCAACATCAGCACCAACAGCAGCTAATAGTGGCAGCCCCAAGGCAGATAGTAGTACAACAGACCCTGCAACCAAACAACCAAGTAATCATTCCAACGGCGCCAGTGAAGGGTAGACAACCACAACCGCAACCGCAGGTATTACTCCAGCAAAGTGCCGGGGGACAATTGCAATACGTCGTATCCGGTGGCGTACCCGGACAGAATTACGTTCTTGCTCAGCCGCAGACAGCGCTGGTGCAAGGACAAGCACAGACGGTGCTTGTAGCTCAAACGACCCAACAACAGGGAACTGGTGCAAAGACCATTATCATTCTACAGCCACAATCAGCCGCACAACCCAGCCCCCAGAAGATGGTCGCCGTCACGCCCCAGGGTCAACAGGTCGTAGTGACGCAAGTCCAACGACCCATTCTACAGAGTCCCGCCCTGGGAAACATACCGCCGCCATTGGTACCGACCTCGGCGACGATACCACAGACTTCCATTATAGTGAATAGTTCGGTAGCACAAACCAATCCAAATGCGATGACAGTCACCATCCCTGCGATGGCGCAGCAGAGTTCCATCACTACCAGTGTACCATCCAGGGTGGTTACGCCTACGCCTGCATCCACACCTCCGCCCACCAGACCTACCACCCCTCATCAGGCAGCTTCTACGCATGGGCTCAACATCAAGCAACAACCTATCAAGGTCATGAAGACAGTGAACTCGTCGACGTCCATGGAGCTGGAATCTAAGCCTTCTACGAGTCAACAGACAGCCGAGTCCAAGACGATCACCATTAAAATCGACCCTAATGCATTCTTGTGCGAGTGGCGTGGATGTCTCAGGTAATTCATCAATTCTCAGTCCCCGGTAGTGAATTATTAACACAAGATGAATAATGACCTAGGACAGTGCTAAACGTATGTCTAACTTTTTTTTTTTTCATGTTAAAGGCAATTCAAAACCGCTCACGAAGTTTACCTCCACGTGTGCGAGGTTCACTGTCCTACCGGTGGCGAAGAGATCTTGTGCTTGTGGGCCAGTTGCGACGGTCTCAAGAGACGCAGGTTTTCTTTGATGACTCATCTTTACGATAGGCACTGTAATTCCGAGGTAAGGACTGATTTTTTATTTATTTCTCACTTACTGTTTCTCCTCCGTATCTACAGGCCGATTAATGTCGTGACGTTCTGTGCTTGCCGTGTAGATTATGTCTGTAAGGAGGAAGCAGCTGACGGTCACCGGAAAGACGGAGATCTCGACGTCGACTCCTCCGACGCCACATCATCCGGGTTACGCGCCTAATGCAGCATTCCATGCTATAAAAAGGCATGCCTTGGAATTTGTCAATCCTAAGGAACTAATGGTAAGCCCTCGAAGTCTTTCGATCTTCGGCATTTTTATTCAGGACTCTTTACGATACTAATTAATCCACCTGCTGCACACGTAGCTACGACTTTATCCGCGATCCTCTTCATAGAAATTCTCACGCGACTATTTAACGTCACGTCGGTCGTAACGATCTTGATCAGATGCTTCTGGACTGTTTCTAAAGCGACGACCGTGTAGCAAATGTCTGGAGGTTATCGCGACAGCAAGGAAAAGAAGCAATAACAATATTCATATAAATGAGGATGCGAGTGTGACGTTGTAGCGTTTAAAAGGATCAATCGATGATTGATAAAAGAGAAATTACGTTATTTACTCATTTCTTTCTAAATGATCTCATTTATTTATACGACTGTGAACTTTTGATCGCTACCTCGTTTCTACGGCTTGCTGTCAGGTGTACCAATCTGAGGAGTGTAGACAATAAGATTTTGTTATAAGCTCGTGATACGAAAACGACACTGAACACCCGAGGGAACTCCTTTAGACATCCTGAGACTCTCTGTGTGTCTTTAAACAAAGAAACAAAAAAACAAACACCCTTTACTGCGTCTTTACTGTGAACTTAACCGAATTTCTTGTTCTCCTTGGCGAGCAGCAGAGGCCAACCAAGCCCGCTGCAGCCACCTCAAGCTCTTCTTCCCCCAGACCTGGGCAAAATCCTCCGCCAGAACAGGTAAACACGAGTTCAGAACAATCCAAAAGGAAGTCACGACATCACAGCCACAGCCCCTGTGCGCTGCGCTGCCGCCTCGTTTTTCTTTTCTCCTCTCTTTTTTTTTTTTTTTGTCTCTGCTTTATCTTCCCTGTCCTCGCACCATGTTTATTGTCTTCCTCTCTTAATTGTTTAATACTCAGTTACCCCAGCATGGCTCTTTCATTTTATTGTTGTCTCCATTTTGTAGCTAGTCTTTGCTGTAACATACATTTGTGTTTGTTTCCTTAAGTCTGAGGTGTCACACGCGTCGGCCCAAAGGCCACAAGTGTCGTTGCGATTTTTTTTAAATTTTATTTTAATTAATTCTACACGACCTATGTCGATGGGCTCGCTTCTCATGTACCTTTATAGGAGCTGTAATACATTTTATTAGTAATATCATAAGATAACAAAGAGAGCAACGAAATAGATAATAATTTATGGCATAGATACTTGGTACGACGTGCAGTACCCGTTCCTAATGCTTTTATTTATAAGATTGGACGTGTAGAATTAGAAGCTGAAATGTGGCCTCAATTCATCTAGAATGAACATTAAGTATAGCAGTATTTGAAAGGAAGAATATGTTACGTATTGTTGTCTGCTTATACTTTTTTTTTTCGCAATTTCATTTGTCTTGTTCATATAAACGTGATTTCTGTAGTAAGTTGACAGCGTACTCTCATCGCGTTACCATTTGGCATGTACCTGATGTAACTAATTTTGCATTAAACTTTGTCACAATCTGTCGGCATCGTGGAAGAAAAAAATGAATGTTTACGTCGATCGATGAAATTCGGACTCTTCAAAGAGAAAAGCGTTTTGCACGTAATTTTTGTCGTTCTCGTGTCTTTATAATATTTTTTCCATACTAAAATAAGCGTATGATAACATTATTGGGGCACGATGCAAAATCGCATATCAAGAAGTTGAACAAAAGCTTAAAGTAGTATATTAGAATTAAAAGGAAAAAAATAATGCTTCGACAAGACTCTTATTGATATGGCAAAGCAATCCTTGTCGAAGTACACAACGTTGGGACGTGACGAGAATTTGCAAGTGTTGTTTAATTTTTTTCTTGTTTTTGCTATATTTGTTTTCAGTCTCATAAAAGACGGCTTTTGTATTTGTCGATAAAGATAATTATTTTTCTTTTACAGGATGACAACGAAGGTCCGGTGACCAAAAGTATTCGCCTGACGGCAGCTCTTATTCTCAGAAACCTAGTCATATACTCCGCACACGGTAGAAGGTGAGTTTTCTGCTTGAGAAGTTTGTTTAAAGGCATAAAGCAAAAAGAAAGGAATAATAGGTAAAAGATAAAAAGACTCTATGCTCTTTTTCGCTATTTATTTGCATTATCTTACACTTTATTTTCCTCCTTAGGCATCTAAGGGCGTACGAGCCTCATCTGGCTGGTGTGGCATTAAGTAATGTCGAATCGTCCAGAACAATCGCTCAGGTCCTGTACGATATGAATGATCAGAGCAACAGCAGTCACAGGTGACCTCTTGAACCTGGCCTCTAAGGAAAACAAGCTTTTTAAACTTGCGAGCAGCGATCAACTTGGACATTACGAATTCTAGTGCAAAAGTGTGAGGCTGGTAGTTGCAAAAGAAGATGATGACGATGAGTCCGCAATGGAGCCGTCGTGTCGTTTGCATCGGTCGTCGTCGACTCTGGATGAATTTCAGACACAAAGTATGCGAGAACGACGATGTAAAGAGGCGCGTTGGATGGACAATGAGCGAAGAACAGTGAAGAACTGCAAGGAAACAGGAAGAGGAATAATGAGGGTGAAATTTGTGTACCTGCGCGTGCACACGGCTGTCGTGTGTGTGTGTGTGTGTGCTGTGTGTGTACATGTGGATACTCCTGGTAAAATTTCTGTACACGGGACGGAAGTCGTGGAGTAAACAGGAAGACGCAGCAATGTTCCGTATAAAAATAATAATAAAGAGGCCTATAAACTTACTGGGCAAACACCATTGCCAATTTAGAGATAAAGTAATAAAACGATTAACTGAAACCTAGTGACGTGAAAACAAAGATTGTAGCTGAAGTGATCCAGAACAGTGATAACGAACGAGATAATATTTCAGATTTAATATTAATATTTATTTTCTCAATCAAGAAGCGAAAGAAATGTTTTTAGTAAACGTGTACAAACAAACAAACAAAATGATCGGAGGTGCAGAGTTTGGAGGTGATGTAGAACGAAGGAGAAGATGGAGCAGTGGGCTTGAACTACGAGGAAAAAATACTTTATGGACGTTATAGTTAATTGTAATCATTATTATTAATTATTAATATTATTACTACTGTCATCATTGTACGAACTATGTTTCTTTTCTTTTCTTTTTTTGTTTTTTTTTTTTCTTTTTCTTTTTTCCATAAGTCACCACGAATCTAGATCGTAAAGAAACTTTTTATCGAATGTATTTCTTAGGAATCTATAATTTGTCGCTTATTAATTGCATATTGCAATTACATGGCTATATTATTGTCTCTCTTTGGTTCATTATTGATTTATTCATAATGTCAAAAGTTACTAAGGATATCGAGACACGTACTGTCACACGAGGCACCACACACGACTGCACGCACCATGTACACGGACGAATTAGTGGCGGGCGAATTAAACTTCTGTCTTAAGAAAAGTATTTGAAAATCGTACCGGAAGCTCCATGCAATGCCTAACTTTAGCGCGAATTTTCAAAGCTGATTATATCGTGCATAAGATGTCCTATCGAATAGCGGTACGCCTTTTCTTTAAGATCGACGAGGTGGGCTGGGTTGGGTGGGTTGGGATAATATTTTACAGAAATTCACATATGTCCACACACACACACACACACACTTACACTTCCAGCAGGAATTTATGTACAAACCTATCAAAAAGTTTTACACAGAGATACTGCTCCGCGTCTCGCAAATTAAGCAATGACTCCTCGACGTAGACCCCCCATTGGCTTTGAGGTCGTGTAACAAGAGTGACCTTAATATTCCATGAATTGAAAGGATCAAATGCGGATGCTGTAGTGACAGTCGATAGAGAAATCTCGAGAATCTCGACATATCCTCCATCCACGCGTATATATTTTCTATGATCGATGATGCCGTTTTCTCGAGTTTCGTACGAAAATTAAGCAACGAACAAAAAATACGCCCTGGTCATCGACGTTCCTGTTGTCAACGCTGACCTCGAATTTATCGCGCTGAACTCGTAGCTAATTTTCTTTTCACGTTTCTTCTTTCTTTTTAAAGTGAACAAGGACCTGCGCTGTCTCGCCTACGGGAATCTAAAACCAATTTGTCCTCCTTCGTTTACCCGATTTTCATTCTGTCATTCACTTCCCGATACACTTTTCCTAAAATCTCCTTGGGTTCTTCTCCGCTGCGTAAAAATCATCGCGCTTACATTGTACGATTTGCCCAAATCAATTATTCAACCGAATTCATCATTGATTGGAATCGATTGGCAATAAGGTGCATTTTCAATGTCGAATTATCGAATGGCAGTCATAATTATTTCCATAAAATTTTGTCTTCGCGCCTTTGCATGAATTACTGCGACCTTATTGGTGGATCGATGCGTCATGCTGGTAGAATTGTTAGTAACAGTAATTAGTTATAATAGATCCGGGTCAATTTTGTGTAATTGAATATTCCTGAGGGTGGCACAAGGAAACGGAAGCACGATGCCATTTATGTCAAGCTCCTGATCCTTCGTAAATTCGTATGTTCACTGCGGGAGAGAGATGGAAAGAAAATAGGTATATGAAATATAGAATGAAAGACAGTGAGAGAATGATTTTCGTTATATTCATTTTAATTATGTCCGACGTCCTGTTAATTAGGTGGGAACTGTCAGGTTGCATTTACGTTTATTATTAATTAACAGAGACGAATCCCGAGGCGAACGGTAAGCCAATCACGACGTTAAGATTATATATATATATATATATATAATTATCATTATTAATTAATTATAAATACTTGTAAATAATGCCTGTATTTCACTCACAATGTTACATGCAAAACGGAAGTGTAAATTTTTCTGGAGAAATTTCGTTAGGTTTAAACGTCATTGAGGGTGAATGAAAAAGTAAAAAAAAATTGGACACGAGTTATCGTACACTTATAAATACGTCTAGAGATAAACGTTTACACACACGAATTACACACACGCATTACACACACAACAAGCTGAACTAAAGTTTTCTGTATTATAATAGATTATGACAAAACGTAGAAGTTGCAAGGAAAACGGATTTTTGTAATTATTTAAATCGTGACGATGCGAAAATTTAATAAGGCTGGGTCAGTATTAACGAGCAGCCGATTAAGAATAACTAAGGACATAAAAGTATAATAATAATTGACCCCGTGCGAGCCTCTATTATGTATTTTAATATTTATATATATATATATTTACATGTATACAAGGTACCGTTATACGACGTACACGTATATATGTGTATATATATATTTAAAAAAAAAAAAAAGAAGTTTAATAGCTGAAACCGTTTAGGAGGACGAAAATCTTGCAAGAGGCTTTTTATTTTTATTATTTGTAATTACTTAGTTTAAATGTTCAACGTTTGGTACGATCATGAGAGGATTAAATAAAGAGCTCTGTAAAGGAACGACGCGGTGATGTAATAAATGACTAAAGGAAGAATATAGAAAGAGAAGAGGACGTGGGAGAGAAAGAATTTTTTAAAATCAATCGATAGCGGAATGAATGCCAGCGAATGGTTTATCATTCTAACGTCAGCGTGACGTGTGAGTGAGAGAGAGATAATGATAACACGCTTTAGAGTGTAAACCGATCAAAAAGAAAAAGAAAATTGATATACTGTCGATGAAACAAAAAAAAGACTCTTTTGAAATCGAGCGATCGTGCACACTCCAGTCATCGCCTCATTGTCATCACTTGTCACATTGTTCACACTAGGCATACGTATAATACGATCAGAAGAAGAAAAAAAAAAGAAAGAAAAAACAAGCAACTTTAATATAACAATTATATCATATATTTTTCATGTGCTTTGTCTTGATTTTTTTGAGCTCCGGTCGATGAATCTAATTAACGCCAGACCTTGGACTGTTGTTTTATTTTTCTTGCGGGAGCTAAAGAAAATGTCTAGGCGTTTAGGGAGCAAGGATAAGAGAAATGGTCTTAATTTCTTTGGTATAAATCCACAGCCCCGGTATACAGTACAAAAAGTATTTATTGCGTTATCGAAATACAAGGATTGGTGTACAAAATTATTGTTCGAAGGTATTACGTTTTACGGCTTACGAATAAGATTAATTCTACTGTATTTAAGGATTATTGTTTGCCCCTTATGTTTTCGTTGGCTGGACAATTCTGGAAAGGCAGATCCACATGTATTTCCGAACTGCTGTCAGAATATGAATCTTCACACGTATCAAGGAACTCGAATGATCTTGTACCACATTGTAAACTTTTGGATGGATCTGTCTGTGCTCTTGAATAATCTGATCTCGATTTGCATTTGTCTGCTTGGTTAGAATTATATAAATTTAACAAGCGTCGCTCAGACTTCAGCTTTTCTATATCTTCCTGCAAGTTCTTGCAAGGTGTAACGGACTTTGACTTGTCTGTTCCATAATCCATTGACGTTAACTCTCTCTCAGAGTCTAATCTACCTGGTGGCAGTTTACTTATTTGATGGTTTGTGGTAGCTGTATAGGACATATGCTTTATGCTTGCTTGATCCTTTGTGAGTAGCTTCACCAAGTCATTCATAGGCAAACGTCGTGATGATCTTTTGGATAAATCTTGACTTAACCCTGCGCCATTGTTTTCATTCTTGTTGGATGATTCTTTACTTCTCTCTTGTGTCTGAGGAATTACTTTTACCCGATACCTGCTACGTTCATTTTGATCTTTCTCAGAAAGATCATTGGTTTTGGACCTTTTGCTTGCTTGTAGTTTTCTCAATGTAAATGGCCTGGTGTCACGGTATTCTTGTTTCTTATTATTGTTCATCGATTCTGTATACACTGCACTGCTCAAAGTTTGTGTATAATTGTCTGCAGTGCATTCCTCTGGCTTTTCATTCCTGTGCAAAGATTGAATTGGCTGTTTGTAAACTGGAAATCCAACCGTAGTCTTTTTAATTGATTTTGATCCAACTTTTGCTCTTTTTAATTTAAATGGTGCACCGTCACTCCATAGTCTTTCCACTTTGGTAATTTTTTCAGGAACTTTATTCTCTGTATTTGCTGGGGAATTAATACCAGGAGGAAGTTCCGGAGGTATACAGGATATCAAGGTAGACTCGGATTTCTTGGCTTCTCCAATTGTCTCTTTCTGTGGGACATTTTGTACAAGTTTTTCTAAAGCTTTTGGTATCTTGCTCTGTCTTTCAGGACTTCTTGGAGACACTCGACAGTTAACAGGATTCGTATTGCATTGCTGAACTTCATTGTTACTACTTGGAATTATTTCTTGTTTTATATCAGTAGAGCAACACGATGTTGCTGCTATTATATGAGAATTAGAAGACTGGGTGCAAGCAGTTACTGGTAAATTGTAGTCTTCAGTTTTCTTAGGGCTTTTAGAATTTTCATCCTTTTTCAAAATTTTTCTTTGAAGAGGCTTCGCTTCTAATTTTTTTCTCACAGCGCCTCTAGAAGCTACTAATGGTTTATTCCCAATCTCTTCCCTTTCAACTGTCTGTGGTACATCACTCTTAATTATTCTAATAGGAGAGTCAACAGTATTAATACCATACTCTCTGTATTCTTTGTGTTCAATCATTTCTCCAGATATTTGCGATCGTAAATAATTTTTTGACTTCATAACAACGAGTAGCGGCCTTTTCTGTTTTGATCTTGATGACGATGTTGAATTGGTCTTACGATTAGTTATATTATTTTCCCTGTTGTTTCTGTCCATTGACGATTCAATCATTCGATCTGCATTACTGTCACTTGAAATAGATGTTACACTAGTCTTTCGATACTCTGTTCTTTTTGATACTTCCGGTTGGCCGCAACAGGATTCTACAGTTGTATCATTCGGTTGAGAATTCGATTCTTCTTCTACCTGCTGGAAAGTAGAAGTAGCTCTTGGGTTCCAAGTAGATACAGTTGCTGATTTAGTAGCAGAAGAAGATGGATCAAATGAGATTGAAGGTAAATCACTCGACGAGGAAGTCCTAGGGTATACTGAAACTGAAGTATAATCTTCAGTAGTAGAATTATGAGTATCAGTATCCTGGGGAGGTTTGATCAAAGTAATTTTAGATGGTAGAAAATTATCAGGCTGCTTAGTAGTATTCTTTGTTGACAGTGTATCATTAACGTTAATCATTGATGACTTACTCTTCATGATATTATTCATTTCAGCTAATTGTCTCTCTAAGCTACGTGTATGCTCTTTAATTTCCGTTAGTATTCTAACGAAGTCTGGTTTAGTTAAATCTAATGCAGTAATACTAGCAACTCTCCCTGATAAAAAAGGACTTTCAGTCTTGTTAGAGTTTCTACTGACTTCAGTATTTGTCTCTCGAGTGTCTGTCCTTGATCTTAATTTTTCAATGTGGTTCAGTGCACTCTTGAACAACGCTATAGTATCATTTGTGAGATTGGCATCCGTTTCTATGATCTTCGAAGTCACTGACACTGTCTTATTAGCTGTTATATAGGAATTAGTAATTGATTGTACTCCATTGGTATCCGCAGATAAATGCATCTTGGTATCATCAAATTTTAGTGATTTCTCTGTTTTCTGGGTTTCTGATGTATTATAACCGGACGTATCATCCTGTATATTTCCACAGCAGTCTCTCTGATCGTGACTATCATCTAAGTTATTCCTGTCATTCGTATTCCCTTTTCTCTCTTGAGAAATACTCTGACACCATGAATCTTTCTCATGAGAGTTGGATCTGTCATTCGTTCGTAGCGCTGAAGGTGCTCTAAGTAATTCTTCTTGTGTCAAAGTATTTTCAGTCCCACAAGGTGGTACGTGAGGAGCTGTACGAAAGGAAAACTTTGACAAATTCTTGTCCAATGTGAAGGTCTTTTTGCAAATTGTTTTTTCTATCATCTCCCTCTCCGATTGGCTGTTTGGATTAGCGGTAGTTTCTAAATGCGTTGGGTCTTTGTACCCAACGGAAGTCGACGTTTCAGTGTCCGTTTCGCCCTGGCACGCAACTCCTGTTCCGTGAGTTTCATTCTGTGTTAAATTGGTATCAATGTTTTTCTGTGAAACCGACCTACTGGTGTGCAGACTCGTCGCGGAGCAGACTTTTGACGCTTTACACGGCTTCAGGATACTTATAGTCTTGTCGCTGTCTCTCTTCAAACTACGAATGGTATGTTTTATCCTCTCTGAGAGTTTTTGTTTCTTTTTATTCGTCTTAGTACGTTCTCTTGTCAGACTATCGCTTAAAGGGTTCACTAACCCTCTGTCAATTCTTTCTTCAGAATATGTAACGTCCTTCAGAGTCAGACAAGGTTTAGATAATGAAATCGGATCATCGCTAGTCTTGATCGTTATTCTTTTTTCTGTTGGTACGCACGTTTCATCAATTTCTGGATACTGCATAGAGATGCTTGTACTGTGTACTGTCTTCAGGTTAGAGTTAGGTTGACTAGAGACAGATTGCACGTTCCTAGGGTAGTACGTGCTTCTAGCATTCCTCTCGAGCAGAGGCCCTCTTACGTCCCCAGAAGTTTGTTGCGATGAATGATTAGCATGTTCTACATGAGAAATGTCAGCGATCGGTAATCTCGTAGCTTTTCCATGTGATTGTTCCTTCATTGATATTTGATCCAAAGCAACATGATCAGAAGGTACTCTTTGAGAGTTTTGATAGCGTTCAGTTTGGTTAGAAGTCAATGCACTCTTATATTCTCTATTATTTGAATGTGGTATCGTATCCGGATACAGAATTATTTTAATACACGGTGTCTCGTCGTCCTTGAACTGAAAATATGCATTACTGCATGTTTCATTGGCATTTCGTCTGCACTTGCGCACCGGCGCCACGGAAGTCCAAGCAGGTCTCATGGGAAATCTATTTGTTCTGCATATTTCACTCTTGGCGCATCTTTTAGGACAGAAGTCATCAGTCTTGCTGGATATTCTATATCAGTGAATGACAATTCATTATTAAATTTCCACTCTATATAACTACATTGAAGTCTACGTTAAAGCTATCCGGCGTTGAGTTAAGTGACCTGTAAAAGAAAAGATACAAAATTTATTAGAATCCTCGTGTCCAATAAAGAAAAGAAAATGACAGTAGGCAGTTTAACAGTGGGACTCAAGTATATTTTTCAAAAAAAGCACTAATACCCTAGTACACAAAAGGACGGTAAAAAAGAAAACGCACGCTACTCTAGAGTAAGATAGATTAGAATGAATATAGAGTATCAAAAGAATTTTTCATGTAAACGTAATAACAGTGTGCGGCTGTCTAGTGGGAACTGGAGGATTTGTTTGAGCAACAGGAATTTTCATGCAGGGACGATGGTGGTCCATGGGAACACTGATGGACATAAGTCGTAGACAATCTATTTGGCAGCCTGCTACAGACAGTAGTTCTCGTGGAAGGTGTATTGCACTGGGTGTTAAAGGACTGTGCAGTGTCCTTATCGCATGGCGAGTGAGTTCTGGCCGAGTTTGAGGAAGTGATGCACTTTGGAAGCGCGCTGTATGGTTTCTTCAGCCAGTCTGGTTGCCTGGCAGAGTTTTTTAATTGTGTAACAGAATAACAAATTTGATCTTTGAGAACTAATTAAGTCGCTCCCACTCCCAAAACTACCTTTGACCTCGTTCTTTCCACTCGTTAATTACTCTAGCATCCGCACGTGGCGCTGCTAGGGAAACCTCACCATGGCGAGTAGGATTTGCATGCTGGGGACAATTACTCTTGGTGCATGCTTGAATATTTCTACGTGATACAATAATAAAGATCCTTGTAAACTGTTCTAGAAATCTATATACAACTCTAGAAGTGACTTTAAAATGGGTCTTATTGTTGTTATATGGATAATGGATTATGGTGCTTTTACCGTCGACTTTCTTCCTCCTTTCTGGCACGGTCGAATCTCTCATTGGTCATTTGTCTACGAAGCTCACTGATCTGCTTGCTGTACTCAGCTGCCTGGTTTTGGTAGCGTCTCAATTCGCTGGATTCGTCGCTCCTTTAAGGATTAAGTGAAAAAAGTGCAGAGTTGAATAGTAGAAATTCCTTTAGAATCGCTTTCACAGAGCATGCAGAAAACAAGTCTTACAGTTTCGTTTGAAGTTCTGTGATCTTTTGCTTTAATCTTGTCATTTCGTTCTGCAATTCTTGATTGGCCGTTTGCGTATTCATGGATTCTTGTCGAGCTTGAGATAAAAGTACCTCCAATCTATCCACAGCTGCATGATCACGATCCATTTGGTCCTGAACCATATTCTGCTCGGCTTTCAATCTCGTTAGCTGTGCCTCGCACTAATCAATAGAGAAACAATGTGACAGTCGTATTTTATTGATTAATTAATCATTTCTTAACGATACCTGTGCTTTAATGGCGTCCTTGTCACCGATCTGCTTCAGCAGAGTCTCTTTTTGTTGATCCAACTGAACGCACAAATCTCGAACTGCATTCAAATCAGCCTCTGCTCTTTTCCTTTGCTCCCCTTGTTGCCGTAACTGAGTTTCCATGCTGGCGACGTTCTGCGTCAATTCAGTGATCTACGAGTACAATAATCAAAGAGGCGAATTAGAATTTTCCCAAGTAGACTTAAATAATCCTAACTTCAATTCCTTGTTGGTTTGTTCTCCAATTCGAATTTCTAAGTAGATGCTCGAGCGAATATTTGTAATTAATTAACAACAGATACCTGAGTCTCATAGCCTCTAATCAAACAGTCCCTATCAGCTAGTTGTCGTTCCAAATCAAGCAGTCGGTCGCGTGCCGACTGAAGTGCACCGCGGGCTTCTGCCGCTTCGGACTCCAAGCTGTGATTGTTGTTTTCCAAAACAGTAGCTTCCAGACTGAGACTTCTGAAATGATTCAGCATCTCCGTTCTCTCGTTTTCCTAAAAATCAATCACGAGTACAGACGACTTTACAATTATCTCAGTGTCCTCTTCGTATCACTTGGTGTCATCGCTATTTTAAATCTGACTGTACCTTTCTATTGAGAAGATCCTCGGCGCGTCGAACTTCACTCACGTAGGTCTGCAGCTGTCTCTTGAGGTCGTAGGATTCGCCTCGCGAGGCTTCAAGTTCCCTCTGAAGATTCCGCACCTCACAGGTTACGGATGCCAGGTCATCCTGAAGCCGTCTATTCTCTTGAATAGCGTTTTCACGATCTGCCGACGCGTTTGCCAATTGTCTTTGAAGATTCTCCATCTCCAGATGCATTCCTCGCAATTGCCTTTCCTGTTCTGCGCTCTGCTCCAGGCATAATCTATAAGAATTACAAGCATCAGTTCCACAAAGTATCGTGAATTGACTATTGGTAATGATACAACCAAAGGCTGTCAATATCATGAAATTGATGACACTCCAAGTGAAAGTATCTTTTGCATCTATCCCACTGCTGTATACATATTCTGTGAATCATTATATTGCCACATATCCAACATATCAGCACAAGTTATCACATTTTTCTTCCACGAAATTCAACTTGAATTGGGGACGCTTCATGAGTTATAATTCCGTCATAAAAATTCTGGTAGCCTCAACCATTTCGTCATGTCTCGTCATGACAAAGTATAATGTACAAAACATCCACTTTCGTGAGCTCTAGATTCAATGATTATCATTTTGCCAATAAAACAGTCCATGATGGGCTGATGGCAGAATGAACCACGTGAACCGTAAAAAATAACTATATCAACCAAGTGCATAACGAATACTGTAATTTTCATTGATTCACGTGTTACATAAGTTTATCCTTATTTGTAAATGAATTACTACGTAAACGAATGCGAAGCACGTGCATCCCTAATGACGAAAGTCGACGTCATCAACGAGGACAAGGGCGACAGATACGTTTATATGAACGAGGTCGAATTAGAAACGTAACGCGATTATTTGAGGCGATTTTAATTACGAGTATCAAGAATAAATTGTGAAAATCCACGCTGCCAGTTAGCATCAAACAGAGCATCTTCTTTGTAAGAGTTTCCAGAAGCGAAAAAGAATTGTTTCCGACATTCTTGAACCAAAAGAGTGTTTTTACCATTTTTTTCAATGATGATCCAACTGTATTAACCAGATATTCGCTACGGCTATTCGCGACTTCATTTTACAGTATTATTATACCGTCCGGTTACGTCCTCAGGGTTCTTACGCAACACGCAAATCGATTATCACAAGCGATCAAGAGAAGGAGTCAGATAGCAAAGCCGGCTTCCAACGGTAAGACTCATATCGACTTTCACTCGCTCCTTGTTAGCCACAGCCTCCGATGGCAAAGAAGCTTGCTGTGGCTCTTGGATAGGAAAGTGAAAATGTACGAAGCAAAGTTTCGTGTTACATGGTGGCGTTAACAAAACGGGTTCCAGGCACGGATCCAGTATCTTTGGACGCATCTTAATATATCATCGATAATTATGGATGACCGGGAAGACTTCGAGAAGAATTTTTGAAGGACGAATCCAACAGAAGAATCTTGATTCAAGAATGAAGACGCAACTCTCGTTGAGCCACTTTGAATTTTGCAGCCCTGTTGATCCTGTAATTAGAAACAGTTGGACTGTGCATAATGGCAGAGGCATTAAAAAAAGAGAATTGAGGAAAAACTTCCTTCCTGTACGTTGTTGTCATATGCAATGTTGACTGTGTAGATTCTGCATGCGCCGGGACGTTCTCGCGGAAGTTGGACTTTTATTCACTTCCTCAATGGTTTTATTAGCTTTGTATCATTATATAGTGAGCATTGTCCTATTTCCTGAATTACCCGATATTATACTCTTAATAGTACGTATCAATGATTTCTCTGCTCTCGTTGAAAGTCAATCAGTCGAAGTTGATTAAAATTTCTTTTTGTATCGCGAACCTCTCGAACATCTTGAATCCATGCGTTCTGAAGAGTCTGGCGGATACTAGGAAAAAACAGACAGACGAGAGGATAGAACATTTTTAAAAACATATCACGTTCACAAGTGCGTGATGTCTTTTTTACTTTCACGGTCGCTCTTCAGGGTCACTGCGTAATCCTTTCTTGTTGGAAATGTCACTTTATAGGAATAGTTACGTTTCATCGGTTTTCCTAGGAATTTCATTGCGTTATTTTCATCTTCATGTTGAAGCTGACCTGTCAAACTAACAAGAGTCTATGCGGTATTCAAAATCAACTAGCTGATATGTCTGATGAAATATTTTACTTGAACAGGTTGGTCGTTACATCTAAATTTCAAATACTTAGTTGAATCTTAACCTCTTCCTCGTGGCAGTTGGAACGCGTCCATGAATGAGTCAGAGTGCATCGCCCTGCGATACCTGCATCTCTTTGTTATTCTTCCTCTCGATTGCTTCACGACGAGACTTCTACGGTTTTAACAGTCTACCCGATGCCAACATGTGTGCATTTACTTCGCTGCTACCGTTCATCGCCATACCGTTATACGAAGCTGTCTCATAGGTTACATGTATGAAGCTAGGAAGATTCGATTCGTAGCTCGAGAATCGTAACGATATACGAAACGATACTAGGATCGAGACTTTGGCGCGGAGGAAGAAAAAAATTCAAAGTAAATCTCTATACAATAGTTCTCTTGAGATTAATCGTGTAATTGCCACTGGTACTTTTTCTATATTGGTTCTAGACTTGTACCTCCAATCTGAACCGGAACCCGAAGAGTTGTCCAAGTGTTTTTTACGTTCAAGGACGATGGCAGATTTGTCACTGGAGTTAAGTAATTTAATAATGACAATGAAGTGCCTGTCCTTTCTGTCTCTTTGCAATTGCAATGCGGCTCTCTGATAGATTTGATATTCATATCTTAACGAGGATTCAGAAACAGTTCGTTGGATTTATTGCGAGACAGAGAAAAGAAACTGGCATCTTAAGAGAATAAAGGAGGAACTACAAAATGCTTTACGTCATCTTTAAAAGGAATGTCGAACGCGTTGGTCGTAACCAGGATGCGCCCTCAGGCAGGTTTAAGATTATGCAATGTCAAGTCGATGGAAATTTCACTAGGCGGAATCTATAAAATTGTAACCTCAAATTATAGCCGAGTCGAATGCCAACGTATTAATTCACTGAAACTTATTGTCGTGTGTTTTAGGATACTGGTATTATCGCTTCAAGTACAGTTGTGTTATCTGTGATATATATTTCACGTTCTGACACTGTTACGGAACTTTGTTCCGTCGTATGAATTGACAATGGAACATTGTTGGACGCCCACCAAAGTGGCCGGGAGTCTGCCTACGCAAAGACTTATGGCTTTCTATAAGCATGCACACAGGATAAGGTAGACTGTTTTATTTTATTAAATCAGGATTTTCATAACCTCGTCAAACATTATTGGAATTATTTTTATCTTAGATTCGATTGCATATTACTACACATGTGGATAGGGAAAAGGAGCCAAGGCCCGTTCTGGTAACGGTATTCCTGCACATCCTAGTTGTTAAGGTTACGTGAAAAACCCAACTATGATTCCATAGAGCAGAGAAGTCATACTGCAGTATCGGCCAGTGAAGGAAAGAAGGAATAATTCTTTCCCATGCTCTGTTATAAGAAGCGTGAGCAATTGTCGAATGCCCGTCTATCTGATTCAGTTTGAAGCACGAAGAAGTTAGGTAACAGCTGTATACAGGCGTGAAACGTATCCAGCCTGAAGTCAGTCTTTGCGCGAGACTCGGCACTATAAGACCTAAGCTCTTAACGTGGTTGCTCTTTCTCTTTGTCATTTGAATTACTCTAGAGATATTTCTCTTTATCATTTCATATATCGCCGGGAAAGAAAAAACAAATTGTGAAATCGTGATGTGACTATTCGCCGTGTTATCTTCGAGAGTTGGATAAAGCTATGAGGAACGAACGAGTGTAAGATCCATTTATAATATAATTTAAAATTATTACATTAGAATAAAATATTGAGCCGGGTGTGATCGAGGAATTTTGGAAAAAGATTATGATAGTACTTTGTTGATCATTTTGTTAAGTTTCAACATTTTCTTTAATTCCCGCGTTAATTGATATAATGAAAATATGATTATTCATTCCTCGCAGAAGGAATATCATTCGACGATATTATGTTACGGATGAGAAATATGTTGGATGGTTATTAAATTTTATGGATAAAAGAATCATGATCGATTGTTATTGGAAAATTTTCGTTTACTTTCGTTTTCCTACGGCTGCATGTTGCAGCATCTGTCTTTCTCGTTATTATGTTTACTTCTGGTGAACGATGAGACTTGACATTTGCAAGAGGCCTTTTAGACGTCTACGATTTTATGCTTAACTTTCTACGTCGACTACGATTATTAATACGTCACAATCGGATTTTACTGTTTCGTCGGTTTCACGTGAAACTTTAGATCGAGCATTTTGCAATAGTGAATAACTCGTCGTCACGATAAAAGTGAATTAAAATTGTGGACAACTTTCTTCGACGAATATATATATATATATATATAGTTTCCTTTCGTTTATCGTTTAAACAAAATTCCTGGTCTTATCTTGTTTTAGAAAATATTTTATAGAATTTTTGAAATATGATTCACATCCGGTTGACTTAGTTTCCTTTCGTTTATCGTTTAAACAAAGTCACGATAAAAGTGAATTAAAATTGTGGACAACTTTCTTCGACGAATATATATATATATATATATATAGTTTCCTTTCGTTTATCGTTTAAACAAAATTCCTGGTCTTATCTTGTTTTAGAAAATATTTTATAGAATTTTTGAAATATGATTCACATCCGGTTGACTTTAATTGCTAGTTTGACCAAGAGACACTTTTTATACGTACTAACCGATCAGCTTGATAAGCAAGTATTAGGATTTTTTTCCATTATAAAAAAAAGGGTAATTTTAATATTGTTGACACGTGCTATGAATAAATTAAAAATAAATTCGATCAGATTGATTTATGAGGAACAAGTTGCTGAATGCGTCAAAACATATTTTAAAATTTATAATTAAAAATTTGTCATTTCGTTATCATCGACAATGGCACGTTACTGACAAGGAACAATTAAATTGTTTCACTGATTCTTCGATGACAAAAAAAATAATTCACAGAGTGTCGCCGCTCATGCAATTGTAGTTATAGAAGAAACAAAAAAAAAGACATACCTAAATCGAATATCATCGCCACTCGGTAAACAGCAATAGGGACAAAGAGGATAACAGGTGTCCATGATAATGAATAACTTTCTTAATTACAAAAATTTTATAAATTGACAAAACATCCTTTGAAATTGTAGTGTATCAATTTACAGAAATACGAAGAATTTCGATTTGGTCGAGCAAAGCCATGATTATTGCCAACGGAATTGTCGTCATGGCCACCGTACTTGTTATCATTTGTTTTCGGCAGATAAATTATAATTTTTTGTTTTCGAGGACCCAGCAACAATATTTTTGATGATTCTATCTTTTCTCGTCGTTACGTCTTGACCTTTGTACATTAATTTTATTTTTTTTAAACCTAACCTAATTATTCACGTTATCGTCTAATTTTTGCGAATTGATACATATCGTATGAGGATGAAAGTTCGTGACGTAACAAGTATTCGGTCTCGCACTGTAACACAGCAATTAGCTAATTGTGCAAGAGAATTTTTAACTCCGAGCTGCTACTTGGTTACGACTATCTAATACCATCAATATTTACACGCATCTTGTTTAACATCATTTCCAATTGACGACTCTCACTTTTTCAAAGTACAGAGGAAAGAAATGGAGCTCGTTATTGCTCGAGGAGGAACTTTATTGAATAGAAGTTAATTTCTAAGAATCGAGATCAACGTCAGATTGATGAACGACTATGGACTGGATGATACAAAAAAAAATTAAGGGAAAGAATAGAATAGAGTGGATACTCAACGTTGCGTGAAGAGAAGCAACGTGTGAAAGAAAAAATTGTCCATAAATGAATTAGTATCCTATGAACGTTTCTTTCTCTTGGCTATATTAGATATTGTCTATATAAAATATATATACATATAGAATATATATGAAGGCTGTTGAATTTCTAGTGCGGAATTCTAGTGGGTGGATGGGTGGTCTGCCTCCATACGACATACTATATCCACAATCTCTATAACTGATCTTGTTACTCTGCCATTTTTTTAAAAGCTATCTCCCAGTGGCATCTTCGACTGGAACAAAATTGGTAGTGAAAGAACAAAAAAAAAGTAAGCTCGTCCATGAGATTTATATGAAAAATAGAGACCTTCGTTTCTCCAGACTCATTTTTTCGTACTAGGTTACGAGATGCAACGAAAGAGGACTGGATTTTCTCTTTCTTTTTTTTTTGGAAGAACACGATTTACTTTCACCAGCTTTGACCTTCAAGCCTTGCGGCAAGGACCTGGCTAATAACTGTTGAATCCTTGAATTTTCATAAGGCAAAAAAGTATTGCAGTACTCATCATTCAGACAGACGCTAGGCCAATTGTGAAATAGACACCGAGATCTAAACTAGAACCTTATAGAAGATTTTAAAAACTTGCAATTTTGAATTGCGTTGACTTGACAATATCGTGCATTAAATTTCCTGAAGCAATTAGAGCCTGATGACAGGACACGCCAGATGCACATGGTGACTTTCGATGGGCACATCAGTTCCTGGTTCTTTCTGCGACCACAAGTAAAATGAAGAATAATTACATAGAAAATATTAGAGTGACAACTGGATTCACACTGTTAGTCACCATAAATACCCTGCTATGTAATCCTGTAGAATTCTACATTTTTAGACAGGAACCACTGAGAAGGTTGTAGATATCAGTGATAGTACAGATTTTCATGAGCATCCAGTTTTCCTATTGCCAAATGGTTCTCGTTAAAAATGTAAAAAGCGTGAATCCTCATTTGATGACGGTAAAAAATTCCCTGGACACAGGTCAGTCTTGATATTCCGTATGCATGTCGTCATTCTATCCCAACCAGGGACAATGCCATTGCCATAGTGAAACAGTGAAAGTATGGGCATTTTATTTGTGTCGTGTATGCTTTTGCTTTTGCGCCACGAGTCCCTCCAGTTGAGTAAAACTTAGTGTGCAGCACCACATACTATTGAAGAGACCATTTCTGTCTTTCTATGTCAGCATTCTGGTTAGAGACTCGGTGCATTCCTGCTCGGGATTGCAGAACGTGTGTTTCTGGATGCACCAGGGCGTTCAATTGTATTAGTTGACATTGAGTATAGAAAATGAAAGGTAAAGCTTCGACATATGTAAATGTAATTAGTGTAACTGTGATATACCTGTTTGAATTGTAACTGTATGGTGATTGTAATTATTTATCCATGACCTGTCATTCCTTACAGAGCGATGCAGACCATCCTGAGCAGTACAGTGTGGATTCTATTGGTAGCTGGTGCAAGTGCCGCGATAGTACCACCACCTTGGGCAAATCCATCCAGCAATCCGTGTGCTGCACAACCAAGAGGCTGGCAGTTGTTATACTGGCCTGATGATGGAAAGTGTTACAAAATATTCCAGGTAAACTTTGATGAACCTTTGAGCATGCTTCTGATTGACAGAGTCAACTTTTCAATGGATAAGTTAAAAATTTTTTTATAAAAACCTTGACGAACAGGATTATTCTATTAAGAATTTCGTATTGGTACAGATAGGTCCGCCCTGTCCAGAGACGATGGAATTGGGTCCTGCAGCAGGAGGTGGTACAGTAGCGGAGTGTAGATGCCCACCAGGCACAGCACAGTCACCCAGGGATGCTTTGTGTCATTCGATATTTACAAGAGCGTCTTGCGAGAAGGGTCAGTACTTTGCACCGGTGCCAGAAGCCCCAGGTTCGGCAAGGTAGGTAACCCAGGATGGATTCAGCTCAATTCCACTCAAGTGATCAGTTAATATCCGGTATTGGTTTCATCTTGCTCAATGAGAATTCAATAGTGTAGGACGTATATCATTATAATGATGTAGCTCGAAGCGACGTTGGGGCGTGTGTCGGGAGCCTGAACCTTGCTCGGAACGCGGTGAGGTCTTCTGGCCCCAGGACGGCAAGTGCTATCCAAAGCTGACAAGAGGACCGTGTCCTAGAGGCGAACTCCTAGTTATGGGTGACGACGATTTCGCTATCTGTTCGTGTTCTACTCGAGGCGAATTAAGCAGATATCATTGGCCAGGAGTTGGCGGTGGCTGCTACGAACACTATACCAAAGGACCCTGCACGGAACCTGGTGAATTGTTTCTACCAGGAGGAATCTGCGGCTGTCACAGCAGTTTACCGCATTACCATGAACCCAGCAATATGTGTTATCCGTTAGGTAAGCCCAGACGTGAGAGAAATTAATGTCTTAGCAAGAAAACAGATTAAGTATAGTAGTTCTTCCATGAATACCTAGGTGGCATCGGACCCTGTCCAGCAGGACATCAGTTCGTTGTATCTAGTCAGGATCGTGAGGACTTCATCCATGCGAAATGCGTTTGTAAACCTGGACACGTGTTGTACCGGAACGGCATATGCTACAGGGTCCACACGAGAGGTCCTTGCGACAATGGAAGCATGTTAATAAACTCAACAACGTGCGTTCCTGTTCCTTGTAAGCGAGGAAGATTATACTTTCCCCAGGAGAAGACGTGTTACAAAGTCGGATCCAGGGGACCCTGTCCCAATGGTCAAATAGTTCTCTACGACTACAACGTGAGGCCATCATTGGACGGAATCAGTTACAATGGAGTCTGTGGCTGTACAAGTACATTGATGAACTCAGGAACGTGCTCCGAGGACGAGGAGGAAAAGAGTTGCGAGAGCACCGCCGGAATGGCGGTGATGAATAAGACTTGCTACAAGCTTTACACGCAAGGTCCATGTGCAGAAGGTGAGTGGCTGGTTGCGCAAAGAGTAGCCAAAGGAAGTTTGTGGCAAGATGAAGATGAGTCACAACCCAGAGCCAGATGCGAGTGTAGACCTGGTTACAAGAGGATATCTGAGAATTCCAACGAATCCGAATTAGAAAGTAACAGTTTAATTGTCCCAGGTGGTTGTCAACCGCCTGCAGTGAGCTTAGCTAGATTTTTAAATGAAAAACTCAAGTCAGCGGATTTTTGACTATTCACTGTCAAACAGTTACACGTGGTACTGTATACTTAGGACTCTACTGTAAATACATAACAAACGTCGCGCCGACATACCGTCCGCTGCTCATTGTCAGTTGCAAACGAACCGTCGCGCAGTACGCACGTCCATTAAGACTTCCTATTTATTTGATATCTTACACGTATATTTGTAAATAAGTAAAAACCATCGTGCATCATCATTCGCCATAGTGGTAAGTCATGACTTATAGATAAAAAATAATTATGCGACCGAGATTTCTGTAAATATAATATCAAAGAATGATTACTCACTGATTTTTATGCTCGATCTCGCGAACCTGTTGCTCCACTCCTATCGCCTCTTGCTCCTTGACACGTAATTCTCTTTCAAGAGCAGCAATACGCTCAGTCTTCTCATCAAGTTCCATCTGTCGATTATATGACAATTGATTATCCATCGCAACTTTTATTTTAGCATAGTAATAAGAATTAGTAATACAATAGCTTGTTTTAATTACCAGTAGCTGATCTTTCTCTTGATCCAATTGCGCCATACCAGCACAAAGTTTACTGATCTCCTGTTTCAACTCTTTCACTTGATTGTCAAGCTGCATCTGTTGCTGCTCGAGACTCCTATTACGATCCATCGCCTTGTTCAATTCGGTCTCTGATTGAGCCAGTTGACCTTGGACATCGCCAAGAGCCTGATCCGTTTGATCTTGCAGTGCTCTGGGTGAGAGATGTCAGATAAATAATTACACATTATTGTTCATTGATCGAGCTCGAAATTCAGTTGGAACTAAAGGTAATTATTTAATAATTGAGGCCTACCGAAGTTGAAAATATTGGGTGTGTTGTGTCGCAAGTTCTTGCTTCGTTTTCTTCAATTCTTCTCGCATGTCTTCTAACTGATCTTCAAGACCGTTTATGGTTGCCCTTCGCGTACCTTGCGCTATCAGAAGATCCTGTCGCTCTCTTTCTAAATGCTTTAATCTTGTTTCTGCATCGGTTAATGATTCCCTGAGTCGTCTCTGTTCGGAAGTATGAGCCTCGGCTGCCATCTGATCAAACGATATCCAAACGCCCTTTTTCTTTTGTCTCATTCATAAATCACAGTGCAATCAAGCTCACGCGGGGAAAACAGTGATTAGATAATAGTTGCAGGTTGATTAGAAATTAAGTTAATATAAGTCTAATATCATATACGTGTTTCCAGATCACAATAGGACTAGATCAGGTACTACGTGCCTGTTCGTTACAGACCAACAAGGAATTGGGTAAGTAATATTAAAGTACTTATTGATTAACAAATACTACTTAATACCTTAAGTCTTTCGCGAAGTGCATCGCGTTCTTCTGCCAAACGTTCCACGTCAGCTCTGGCTGTGTCTCTCTCGCGTTCTAAACGTTCCAGAGTAGCCTGTTCATTAGAATGTTAAACATTTAATTGATACAAAGCTACAGGCATTGTTAATTAATCGTAACAATCTTAACCTTGGATACATTTGTGTCACTCTCGGGTGGTGATCTCGAGGAAGCGCAGGTGCAGCTACCAACAGGCCTGCAGGGGCTACAAGGATTGCATGGGATGCATGATCTTCTTTGATGAGTTTTGTTAGTCTGCAGTCTAGCTTCTAAGTTGAATTTTTCACGGCATAATTCCTTCTTCTCTCGTTGTAATTCCTGTATGGCACGTTCCTTCTCGTTTAGCTGACGTCTCAACTCGGACGCCTGTGTCCATAGGTCAGCCTGTTTTAATGAAGACAGAGAAACAGGGTGCAGACTAAATAAAATTTTATATAAGGTTACTAAGTATTATAAATAATGTATGAATGAGGTACATATTAATTGAGTAATAACAGCGTGTCTTGTAGACAGATTTTGGATTCTTCCTTTCAAATATTTTATAAAAACTAAATAGTCATAACGAATGCCTTACATTATCTCTGTCGGATCCTTTGTTAAATTGTTCCCTGAATTTGTTGTATTCGTTTCTGTAATAATCGCGTTCAGTCTCTAATCTCTCGATGGTTTGTCGTAACTGCAAAGCGAGAAGTTAATAACAAGAAAAAAGTATATTCCGCTTTCCTAAGGATACTATCAACTTAAACTTACAGACATTATCGACATGTCTTTTTCATTTATTATCTTTTGAGCCTCTCCATTCGATGCTACGACATTTGTGTCTTTTGTGACTTCAGACTCTTTGCACAGCGATTCCTTTCTTTCTATATTCTTTGCTCGGGTAGATGGCGACGGTGATCGATGTCCTTTTGATGCTATATAAAAAATAAATTCAATTAAGGATTCACAATGTCTGATAGAGTCGATTATTTACAGAGATTAATATTACTAGTATAAACATTAACTTGGGATGATAAACTAAAATTATATGGCAAACAGTAAGCAGGTCACGAATGTACCAGTCCTTTTTTTCGTTATTTTCTTTCCTTTATTCTTATCATTCTTATCACCCTTTTCTCTCATTTTTTTCAAGGCGTCCCCATTGTCACTCTGTAAGGATGTTTTCAAACGGATCTTCTCCTCTAATAAATTATTGTTACATTTCAATTGTGTAATCTCTTCTTTTCGGTACTCGTTCTCTTTAATTAATCTTTCTATTTCGTCGTTTAAACTCTTTTCTGTAATATTATTTATAACCGTTTGATCAAGGGCGTCTTGAATCATACAGCTAGAACACCTGAAAGACTTTGAATATTCTAAAAAAAATGATTTATTCCCTACCGATTACAGTTAACTGATTGATTCTATCAGTCATTTGCTTCTTCTCGTCCAATGTTGATTCTAAGACGCGTTGTATGTTACGTTTTTCGAGTTTACTTGCTTCTAAATCCGCTCTCAGTTCCTGTACTTCTCGCCGTTCTACGGTCAATTCACTCTCCAACACGTGAACTTGCGTCATGACGTCTTCCAGCTTTTCCTAAATATATTAAAAAGTAAATAAAAAGAACGAAAATTGACAGATATTGTGAGAATGAATAGACTAATGAAAATTTTCACCTGTAATTTACAAACTCTTCTGTTGTTCTCCTTAACAGCCGTATTGCAATCAGCCTCCACTGCCAAGGCAATACGATCTATATCTGATAATTCTTTTTCTAACTCTTCATTGCGCTCAGCTAATTTTACAGCTTGAGACATTGCATCGTGTTGTTTATTAATAGCATCTGTATTAAATTAAAAGAAAGTTATTCACGTTTTACGTTAACTAGTTAAGGGATCCTCAAATCCATCGAATCACCTTTCAATTGTAACTCCAAGTCCAACTTTGCTTGTTGCAGTATTTTAACTTCATTATTGTCAGGGTCTCGATGATTCTTATCAACTCGCCGACAACAACAATCCTTAGAAACCGCGGCAAACGGTCGACCGCCCTCTAACATTTTCTTTAATCGTTGAATCTCCTTCTCCTTGGAAGCTAACTGGAAATATACCGGTTTAAAGATGTTAATCTGCTTTACCCACATTTCATATTTCATTGAATAAACAACCCGTTACCGTGCATGATACATTATAGAAACATCATATAACAATAAAAGCTCACACTTACAGTAATAGAAATGAATTCTCATACCCTGGGGATCAATAATACATGCAACAAAGTACACATTCTGGTTGGACACACGATAAGTTGCAAGGAAGAATCCAAAAGATACTCAAAAAATATATTAGGCTTTAACGATACCTGTGTTTTCATTGTGTGTACATTGTCTGATTGCAATGCTAATTCTCCCTTTAATTTGGTTACCTCACGGTTCAAACAGTTCATCTTGTGCTCTGCAGTGCTCAGTAAATCAACAATGTGTGGCTCCACTTTTCGTAAACTAGGCAATGTCGTAGTACTACTTTTTGATCTTGGCAAAGCATCACTTTCTAGAGTAGGTCTTCTGAGTGGATAGCTTGCACGTTTTTTAGTTGCTATAAAATCATAAATTGGCATATACTCGTATTCTAAATATGGTGAGGATTGCAGATACTATCAAACTTACTACTTCTTCAGATAAATATGAAATATCTTTACCTAGTCCAACGTTATTTATCACGGGCTTGCAACACTTTCCTTGTAGCTCCAATATCTTCTTCGATTTCTTTGAGGATTCAGACTCTAATTCTTTGATTTTCTGGAGATTGCGCGACGATGCCAATTTCAGGTCACAGCATTTACTCTCTAATTTGCGCACTTGCTTCTTAAGATCGCGGAGTTGTTTTTGATGTGCCTCTTTAGTTTCTATAAGCTCTGAATGAAGATGATTACATTCCTGCACTAGACGTGCATTGTCACACTTATATGGCTCAACAGCCAATTGCAACTGACTGCATGCCTGGGAGAAAGAAATAGTATCATATAAATTAATAGCAAAGAATACATGAATTACTATTAATTACATCTTTTTGTAGATTAAGATATAGCTTTAACAAATGTATATGCTCCGAAGTCAATGTTAAATAACACGAATAACCTAGATCACTTACCACCTGTTTGACAGATACAAATGTCAAATAACAAATGAACTTTAAACATTATAGAAAGTTTTTAAATAACTCTGATGGGACTCAAAATGCATTTTACAATAGCTATAGAATTCTAAAATATATGCTAAGATATACAGTTAAAAAAGTTGAAGGTCTTATACCTCTATATTATCCTGTGCAATGGATTTAAAATGTTTGAGACTTTCTGTAGTTTGTATAAGATCTGCCAGTAGTCTTTCTATTAAAGGAAGAGCGTCCAAGGAAAGTGCTTGCTTATATCCTAAATTATCCAGATGCTTTCGAACTGTACGGTATCTTGCAGCTACATTATAATCCTCTTCAGCATTCATTTTTACATGAGAATTATAATCAAACTTTTAACACAGTAATTTTCATATAAACCACAATTTCATAAAATGAATTTAAAACTATTTGTTGCACAATTTTGTGTTTAAATTGCTCCATTTACAAGTTTGTTTACACTATGCTTCCTCTTAACCTCGACCGCGTAATCGTCCAAAAACTTAGCATTAAGACTCTTAAGCAACATTATTGATTGCACTGTCTAATACGTCAGGTTTATCTCTTGATATATATAAAATGCACAATTGCACATTGATAAAGTTTCGTTATAATTTAATTTTTCTAAACAGATCACACACTAGATTACAGGGTGGGAAACAGTAGGGGCCTTATAACGGTCATGGGATTGTTGAACGGACCCAACTTGCAACTAATAGAATTCAAATTTAACGCGCTTGACTCAATGGAACATAATATATTGTATGACTATTCTCTCATTGAGACTTCATATTGAAAATGGGACTAGTGAATTGAATTTATTATTATGACTCTGTATTATTAAATTTATTGAGTTAAAGATAGGATGACAATAAAAATGAAATAGAAAGGACTCATTATATTCTCTTTCATTTTATTAGATCTTTCTTATGATACATGATATAAGAGTTTCATTGTACAATCATTAGCCGTCTCTTATTCGTGGTGTGAGCAACTTGACACATCAGGGCATTCATAGAAATCTTCACATATTGTTACGTATTATAACACAATAACAAAAGCAATAACATTTCTTGTACTAACGCTGTAGACATTCCACTTTCATTAGGGCGCCACTGCCCAAAGATATACATAATGATGATGAGGATACAATGAACACTTATGAAGAATTTTAAGAACCTAAGCATAAAAATCTATAAAAGATAACTAGGATAAAATGTTATTTGCAGACGATTGTCGTCTTACATTTTTTTTGCAGTTTTCTTTTTCTTCCTTTCTTTCTTTTCCTCCAACGTCAAATAATATCTATTCATGACAAAGCTTTTACTTACAGATATTCTCAAGCTATGTGCATTGAGATAGATACAATATTCAATGATGTTTTTCTCCTTAGTGAATTAATGCAATTGGTATATGATATCAAAGATAAAGATTCTGAAAAGTATGATTAATCGATGCTGTGGAAAGTACAAAAAAATATTTTAAGAAGCTTTGTCAATGCATCCCAGATATTTCTTAGCGATGTGAGGATATAAATTTGTTACTGGAACACAAATTATAGGTGGGTAAATATAGTGTAGTATAATGGTTAGAGGACTACATATAGATGATGATAGTATATCAATTGCATGATTTATGTAAAAAAAAAAAAAAAAGAAAACAATACCTATACTAAAACCAGCCACGGTAACGAGTAAACGCTGAGAAACATAATAGTTGCATCTTGTACGAAGAACAAAAAGAAAAATTGTATAGTAGCTAGAATTTCAATTCGATGAAATAATGCCAGTCGTTAGCGACTAAAACATATTGCGCATCGAATTAAAAAGACATATATGTACAATATTTATATATACACAAATTCCGCGTTATTAGATCAAACATTAGATTTAAGCGCTTAGAGACTAATCGACCAAGAAAATGTCTCTCGATTGATCATCTAACGGGACATTTGCAAGCACAGATCAATCAATCGAGAGATGTTCTCTTAGAGAAAAAAAAATGAATTGATCGTCAGTCTAATTGTTAGGAAACAATACAATTTATAATAATATTTTTAGAAACTAGATTATGATAATTTCCACTGGATTGCTGTGCATGCCTCAGTGTCTTTAAGGATCTCGTTTTGAAACAATCTTGCGTGCGGATACAAGGAGACAAATAAACGATCTTGAAGCAAAAAAGACAAAAATCATTAAGCTCCTGGCACTCGCAAAAGTAACTGACGGTGTAAAGGTACTGATCGTTTCATTCAGGATATCAGAACCAAAGCACGGCAATCTATTGATATGTCAAAATCTTACAATTGATGCGACAACAAGTGTAAGTGAAAAATGACAGCAATAATATAAAAATAAAGCAATAGATTTTCTGTTGTCGATTTTGTTAGGCAACGGTTACGCGGCGAACCAGCCATCGTCTGATAATAATTAAATCACTAGGATCTAGATCGTTACGCATTTTTAATAACGTCTAATTACAATAAGTAGATTGACAATGAGAACAGTATGAGAAACGCAAAAAATTCATCGTCAAAACATATTTTATCAGTAAGTGCATATTTGTATTGTTGAACTGTAGGCCTCATTTCGTAACGATCCAATGATTCGCGATCACACATCTCGTTCCATTGTTTGCCAATGGTCCAAAAAAACAATGGGACAACAATGAAACACAAATAATATAACGCTTCAAGATCCAAATCATATTTAGAATCTTTGTCGTCGCTCAAACATCTATTGACTAACGGTCGTAACCAGCGATCATGCTATTGAGACAGTTTCAAAAAAAAAAAGAAACCAATCGTATTGTTACTGTTGCTATTGTTATTTACAACAGCATATTACCGTTCTATTCTCTTGATACTCATATTCCAGTTTCAGTTGTTCCACAAAAGGTTGATCTTTTTAAAGATTAAATTAATGACTGGCGAAGGCTATACAAATGTGTATCATTTTTATAGCAGTCTTTAAATATGATTTTTACTAGACGGAGAGAATAATTCCAGCCCAATAAATTGCTTACTGTTGTTGTTAACGGGAAACCGAAAGTAAATTCGTGAAACAATAAGGTCGCTTTTCGAGTGTATTGCGATTTTCTATACAAGTAGTATTTTGGATCGCAATTAAATGTATTCCTTTATAGTTAATGAAAGAAGCCGAGGAAAAAGAAAGAAACGTAAAAGCTGCTTGCGACTTTAGCAGGAAACAAACAATACTCATTTGAAAAGGTTCATTTGCTTGCTGACTTTACATTGACATACGGTTATAGCTATTGATCATTAGGCGATCGTAGTTTATTTTGTATTTCCATAAGATCTCAGTAGCTCCGTTACAATTATTTATGTTATTGTATCCATCAACATACAGAGTACACAGTATGAGCTTGAGTTGTCGAAAAGACTTAGTGGAATCACGGATTTGTGTCTAGAAAATGGTTCAGTACATTTCGTAATGCCATTCTTATTTAATCAGTACCGATGGCTCTCTAACGCACTAACAATGCACCACGCATTCGTTAATTAATATATAATATACTTTGTAGTCATCGATTCTTCGGTTTAATCCTCCTGACTTTCATTTTGTCTTTACTCTTCATTAATCTCCTTGTTATTCTTTTTTTTTTTTAATATAACTTTTCTCACTTTTCTTGCGATAACACCTATAAAACCTAGCCTCGGTTCTAGCCAGCTTGTTAGCTGAACGACGAGGCTTACCTTTTTTTTTTGTTTTAATTCTTTTTTAAAGCTTCTTCTTCGTCTTATACAACTACAAAACTAGGATCCAAAGTAAGGCATAATCTTACATATCCTACGAAATATGCATAAGATCCCATTACCCTTTTGCGCCGTCTTAAAAGATCCACCATTGTTTGAGTGATTCATCCACCGCACGATAACCAATTAAAGATGAGAAACGGCTAAGGGGCATCTTGGTCTAGGTCCAAAGGATGGGATTCTGCGTATTGGCTGTACGGATCACGACAGCCATCAAGTCAAATCTGGGTGGAGAAGCGAGGACGTGGTAGATCGCCGAATACGGTATCGCCATGCACGCTTTTAGCGAGGGCTTTGATCGAAGCGCGAATATTGTGAGGATCGAGTGGATCTCTTGACAGCTAAAATAACGTTAACTATGTGAGATCCGAGAGCAGGTAACAAAATAGACTTTAATGATGGATTAGTACGATAAACTTCTAATGAAGCAAGTTTTAATGTCTTATATGAAAGCAGTTCATACCCGATCGTCGTCCTGATCCTGCATATTTCGCCGAACGTAAGACGGGAAAGCAGGTACGCTAACGGGCAGTGATTTGGCAAGAGTAGGATGGCCTCCCCGTTGTCCTCTAGGTATATGAATACCCTCATCATGTCCGGAATCTGAAATATCCGCAAATCAAACAAATTTCCCAATATTCAGGACCTTAGTGGCATATTCTTAATATTTACCATCAGTATCAGACTCTTCATCCGACTGGTGAAGCTGCTCGCAGGGTAAAGTGTCATCCATTCCTTCAAGAGGGAACAAAGCTTCTGCATCCAAGCTACTTGGCTCCCTGGAGAAGACCTTTAATGGTTCCCTTCTGTCGATGCTTCCATTCTGTCGAATTGAATTTTTTAAACATACTATTTAGGTAAGGTAAATTTTGCATGGTACAAAATCCCGTCTTCAACCGGTAATCACTATTGTTTGGATACGTGGACGTGTCTGTACTCACAATATGGAGACTAGCTGGGTGCTTGGTAGCAGCTTGGTGCCTGATATTAGCGCCGGTAATGAATTTCGTGTCGTTTGACACTAGATGTGCTCTTGTGTTATTAATTGTATTGCCCATTGAGCTGGTTACAGTTTCTTTAAAGCCTTCCGGAGTGGCAGGAGGAGTTTCCAGATCATTTGTAGATTTCGCCGAATTTTCGTTGTTGCAAATTAATCTATAAGAGAAAATACAAACGATTTAGTATGTGAAATTTTATCAATACGTCAGTCTCGGACGTTACATTACATAATGCAAAGCATTAATCATGTTGATGATCTGACCTTGCCAACAGTCTATGCTCGGTATGGGCTCTCTCACGAAATTGTTCCAGAAGTTGATATTGTTTTGCCGTAAAAGCTCTAATCTTCTCCTCGACGGCAGCAGCCTCACGCTGAACAGCTTCCTCAAGTTGCTGCTGAAGACTTCCCAGTGCCAACTGCTGGCTGTTTGATAGCTGGGATACTGTGCAAATAAAATAGATGATGCAAGTATTCTGGGCGAGCACATATTTTTAGTAGACCTATTTTACGCACATATATTTATTTATTGAAAATCAGTTAAGAGAGTCTATTTGTTACAGGTATAATCGAGTACTATCAAATCTGCATTTTGAAAAGTATAGCGTCTAGAACGTTAAATAATCAACAACAAAATTCTATTTTGATAAAAAAATATCATAATGAGATACGTAAACACTGGAAGCATTCCGCTTCTTCAATTGTATCTGCCAGTACCTGCAATTAATGGATCCTCGCAGTGCTTTTAAATATTACACGTTGTTACTTTTATATCCCAGAGAACCGTATCACTTCGTATAATCAGGAACAAGCATGTTTACCGGAAAATTTTGTAGATGCCTGAAGAAGATCCACATCGGCCAGAGCACTATGATTGATTACTATCTTGAAAACCGCGCTGTAATCAGGACTGGCTCGTAATTTCTCAATTTCATCAGGTGAAACCTATAACATATTAATTATAATAATGCGTCAGTCAGCGGAAAAGTATGTAAATAAAACTGTTGTACGTGATGAGCGACATGTATTTAAAGAATCCTCAATATGATCAACATTTTCGCCCAATAAGAGCGTTGCGTTTTATCAGCAGAAAGTTGGCGAGTTAGGTAAATATTTTATGTTGACTAGGAAAGATAACAAAGTGCTATTAAATTATTTTACTTTCAGGGCTCCTTAGTAATGCATGGCTAGATCGCAGTACATCAAAGTTTTCTAATGAATAATATAGATCCTCTGATCCTGCGATCCAGCATAGAAATGTGATACATATAAATGTACATGTATGTTGTGTCTCATAAAATATTGTTTACTTTCAACAGCTAGAATACAACGTTAAGCAAGATAGCAAAATGCAAGGTAAAAAAGAAGTTTAATCAGTTGCACATGGTAGCGTATAATAGTTGGTTGGCAACCTCTGCTAAATACCTGATACATACAGGAATTAAGTTATTTCTACTGTATCAGTTTAGTTATCTGAAAGTATAACATGTATCCATAGATAAGTCAAACTTGAAACTAATATATTGTATCATACATTTATTATCAGAGGCATTATAAGTTCAATAGCCTGTACAAAGTGAACACCTTGGAGAATGCAAGGATCTTTCCCTTTTGGTGATATTTAATTTGAGTCATCATCGTGAATAATAGATTATTTACTGATAATACTTTTTGTTCTAAAATAAACACGACTTGGATTATCTGAAGATTTCTTTAAAGTGATTAGATGGATAAATATCTCTATTTATTAATCAGCACAGGTTTCAAACAGGATGTGACAAGACTTCTACTACATGGAAATTAAATGATATCAAGAAGTATAATAGTCATTTTTGAATATATCAGATGAATTGACGTTTTTGAAACGTCCTCTCTTATACGTGTATTAAAAAAAGGTTTGATATTTAGCGAACATTGCATCATCTATGTTTTTCTCTCATTTACTGCATGCCAATCTATGGTAATAAGAATTACCACAGTAGATACACCCACACACTCTTCCTTAAACGAAGAACAAGAAATTACATCACGCATTATTCATTGCTGAGTATAAAAACTGTATTTTTTAAACGACAATTCATTCTTTGACTGTCAATCTTTCTTAATTACACTTTTGATACTTACAATGAGATTGGTGTTAATAAGAACCATCCCAGCACCATACTCTTTATGTATGGCATGGGTATGCGTTGAACAGTTGTAACAACGGTGGACTACCCATGCCCCAACATTTCGAACTTCCAGCAAACTTGATTGCTGTTTAGTAATACCATCCAAGACTGATACACTCGCCACATTCTGGGAAATAAATTCCAGGCATGGTCTTATAAATATATCTTAGTATGTGTTGTCTTATTGTAATTATGTATCATTATATGTAAGTAATTTGATTTGACTGACAGTTCTGGAAATCAAAAGCTTAATAATAAAATAGAACTGTCCTCATTGATTTTGACCTAATCGAATATAAATGATTAGTTTCATACTTCTTGAGAATTTAAGAATGCAAGTAAAAAAGTTTTTAAAACAATCTAGCAGTAAAGGTATTTTAGAAGTTTTTATTTTTTTTTGTATTAGTTGTCAATATTAACACTGAATCATATGAAAACACTATCTCCAGCTGCATAAATGCTTCTGGTATTCTTATAATCAATTCAAATATTATTGAATATTTTAGCATATGATTATATTAAGAAACTAACTGCACAACCTTGACTACTTATATTTGCTAGAATTTCACAATACTATAAATCCTTATAAAAGAAACATATAAGGTATATAAAAGAATCTAACAATTGTTCAATTTAGTTCATACAGTATATTTAATTATAAATAACAATGACAGATATTCAATATAAACAGACTAACTTGCTGTTTAGATATTAAGCATCAGTAAAAATTGTGAGATATTTTATTTCAATTCCATGTAAAGTTTTCACGTTCAAATTTGATTAAATTAAGATGATAACAAAAGATCAATGAGCTTCCAAAAGGTTCAACAAGGATTTTAACAAAGCCAAGAAGAGCCTTCAAAAAGAAAATCCTCTGTGATGACTTTTCAAAGAAGTATAATCAGCACTCAGGTAAAATTTCAAATTACCTCGCGAAAAAAGGTGTCAGCGCGTTCCAAGGCAGTCAGTTCGAGATCCTCGAGGTTGACCCTCCGCAGTTCATTATCCCTGCATTTGATGAAGACATTGAGACACTTGCAGGCGACGTGCATCGTACGAGAATCCCGAAAAACACGTAATCGAGTCACCGTGACGAGAAAGGATGAAAATTAAAGAGAAGAGGCAGAAGAATCCGCAGCTTCAAACAAAGAAGACGGAAGCAAAATATCGTCTTGCTAACGAATTATCTAAAAATTCTTATGGTTCAGCGCTTTCTTAACAACCAACACTTTTCAGTTGGTAATCTCGTGAGCACTGAAACGTTTACTGTTCCGACATCATGTTTTTCCAAGTCGAAACGATGTGTACGTGCGTACGAGAGTACTAAGAAAATTATCACGTCCTCTTGGCCTCCTGTAGACTGTATATCTCTTTTTGATTTAACCCACTCTCGAAAGCTGATCCAAGGTGTTGCGCTGCTGCATACTGTTCGACAAGAGAAATCTTGTAGTAGACCTCGAAAAATTCTTTTCAATATAAGAGTCTCATATAAACACTCGGCACAGCCGATGCCGCCGCTGTCTATTGAAACTTAGTTTGTCTGAGATTCTCAGTGAGATTATCGTCGAGACTTTTTGAAGTTAGTTGAACTTTTCAAAGCAGAATATTAATCTGTCGCGGGCAAGAGGTGTCAAGAGACTATTATATGGCCGTAGCTTCGTGAAAGCTTTTCGTGCTCAGAGTCCTCTCTGTTTCTTTCCCTCTTCCTTCCACGATATTATCTTTCTCTCTTATTCTCTCCTATTCATCAACCCGTTCCTCTCTCTCTTCATCACTCACTCACCCTCTCTGCTCTTTCTCAAGCTTCACTGGTTACTACCTCGCGATAATGTATACCCTTTTTCAAGTTTCTCGGGACTCTAGATGCCTTAAATTATTCTAACATTTCTCGAGCCTGCAGATAAACGAACCTTTCATTAACGAGCTTGACATGGAACGTGGTTACACGCAAAGTTCACACTTATATTTACAAATTTTTCCGAAATTCATGGGAGGAGCGCTCACTAAAAATAAACACTGATTTATGGACGCTATACGTCCGGACTTAGCGAGACAAAAACATACTCCTTGGTCAGTATACAATCTAAATCAGCTGGTCTATCAATTATGATTTTTCTCAAATAATCTCTATCTTTTGTTTTACGATCATGCTGTAGTACATGGAAATTCAATCAGATTACACAATGAAGTTAAAGGATACAATCGCTTCGACTTTAAATGGTGAGAACGTGTTGCTTGACTCTAGTAGGATTTTTAAAAGCATTGCGCAATCGCGCGTTTTCCCCGGAGGCTAGTTTGAATTTATACTTAGATATGACTTGGTAGAATTATAAATATTATTAATGATTTAAAGCTGTAAGATATTTTTTATTTTCTTATATTCATTTCATACACATTGCATTACAGATTACCATAATTATTGCACTCGATCTTACTTTGCGCAGGAAGACTATATTTTATGTTAAAGTATTATGATATTAATAATAGTATTTGATGGCATTGAATGCAACGGTAACAATTATCTTTTTAACTATTTTTACACTTAACAGGAATCTTTGCAAGATTCTCGAGGAATGTTAACATACGTTAAATTTTTCAACTGCACCATAACAATCATCAGATCTCTAAATAATACTGTTTTCTTGTATCCGGCAAAAACAGCATATAATCTGCAATTAGTTGTCTTTTTATTTATCTAATGCGCTTTGTGATTTCACAAAGAAAGGCTAATAATTATTTACTGACATCGAATTACAGATTGTAATTATAATTGTCTCTCTACGTCAAAGTGAATCCATAGAAATATTTTCAATTTAAAAATTACATTAGCGTGTACGTTCTACACAGATTTTTAGACTTATTAGATAAAATTTATATAATATATGTATATGCAAATAACATTGAGAATTATTGTTATTATGTATGATGCTCCATTATTCAACGTTCAAAATTCAACGTGTTTTTTTTTAATATCATGCATGCTAATATACACTTTAGTAATACAATAACAATATGGAATGTAATATCTTCACGTGTATTTTCCACGTGGATATAATGGGAATGTTATTCGGAAAGCGTCGTTTTGCGGATATATTAATTATACATGATATTTTCATAACTTTTGATTATCCTTACGCAACTTACATATTGAGATATTTATGCTTCCATTTGAAATACTCATTAAATCTCATCGCTGCGTATCTGAAACGGCCATTATGAAATTAACTTGTCAGAATTATCGTATGATTGGAATGTTAAGCATGTGATTCAATCCGGTTTTTATAGCAATAGCAATTTATGCTATTAGAAACAGAGAACAAAAAATTGAATACTCACTCTAGGAAATCAAACTCTATGTTAGAATGTTGACTCTGTATAAGAGACCAACAACCCCAGAAGAAGTGGGATAAAAGTGCGAATTTATTGACACTTATATACAATTTTGTAACATCATCCTCCGACACGTTACTGCTCTTGTTGTATGTTTGGATATATATTCTGATCCAGACTCTTTGTAGAGTCTCTTCCGGATATAATGAGAAATCCGGATTCTCTATACCTAATTGACGTTTGAAAATATTATTAATATTTGCATCAAGATAGCAACAGGAAAGAAAAAGCAAAGGAAAGAATAAAATATTACCAGCAAATTCAATAAAATGATTCGCTATGTCATAAGCTTTATAGTTGTAAGCAGCATACTCATAATCTATAAAAGTAACTGTATTCTCTGTTTCATTATATAGAATATTGCCCAGAAGAAGATCATTGTGAGCATAGACTACTGGATTATCCAATGCTTGAAGTTTCTCTTTCAGAAGTAAGTATTCTTGCTCCAGTTCTTTATATGGTTTTATTAATTTCTGAAACCTAGAAGCATAATATCTCATGTTATAAATGTTCAGATGGAACTGTATCGGAGTTAAATATGTTTTCACCTTGCTTGTTTTTCCGGATCTGGAAATTCCTTTGGCATGATATGCATGAATTTTTCTGTTTTACTCCATATCATAGGATACCTTTCAATTTCAGAGTCTTCTGGATTCAGAAGATGCATCTGTGCCATCCTCTTCGCTACTAGTTGATACACTTTACTCTGCCTGACAGTTTCTACAGTGAGGATCTCCCCTTCGATAAATTGATAGGCCAATCCATTGTTGAATGTTGCATAAAGAGCATGAGTATATCCAGCCTTGTACATTATCTACATCAGTTTGTTAATATCTATATTAAGTTAGATCTGATACTTACTGTTTTATGCTAAACAAAATTCAACTCTTAATTACCCTAATATTTCTAGTTTCAGCCTTACGATCAATGAGTAATTCTGTCTTGTTCCCGTAGACTCTGACTAAAACCATTTCATTATAATGTCCTGGATACCACACGCCGATCAGCTTGTTTGTTATCCCATTAGTAAATAACTGAAAGTCATCAAATCTCAGGGATACTTAAACATATTATAAATGCTCAAATTTTATTAATGTTAAGGTTTTATACTTCAGAACAGATAAATTAGATACTAACATTATTATTTGATATCATACAGTATATTGTTATCTATGATAGGGATAAATGACAAGTTATTAAGTTTAAAGCTATGAGATTAAATTCAACTACTTATGCAAAGGTAATTGGTTGTCTTATAGTAAGAAAAGCATCAACTCAGATAAGTGTGTTAGCTCAGTTGTTATCAAAGATTAATTTTTATAATGATAAAAATGCTTATCAGGAAAAAAAAATGTTATATCAACATTAATTAATAACTATGGGTACTAATATAAATTGTTTCATTAAATAACAGTACATATCACTAAGAAAAGGAATGCAGGTCATAGTTGATTTACTTATTGTTGCAGTATTTTGAGTATTGCTTTATATGATTCCAATAAATTTTATTTCCTTTTACAGTCTCACATTCTTATATAACATATTATTAAGTGAAACTTCCAAATTATTACACGATACTCTTAATTCTCTCATAGCTTTATAATTCCAATTTCATTAAATGTATAAAAATTATTGTGGCAATACATTACCTTGAACTGAAGTTGATTGTGAGGCCAATTAGGTCTAAGTCTTTTTACAATCTCTCTTGCTCCGACATTTAATTCATTTTCATCAACCGTCAAGTCAAAATGAGGTTCCATTGGTTTATCATCCATTACCATCTCATCAATTCTATAGTGGAGCATTGATTATTATATTATTTTCTAATTAAAACCTTTTCTTTGCTTACATATTTACAAATAAAGTATTTTATAACTTCATGTAACTTAAACATGCAATACAGTCTAAAGATAATACTGAATGTGATGCATCCATATATGTATGCCACTATCGATATAATGAACTTTATAGACCTACATAAAAACAATAATGTAAATCATTAATATGTTACAGCAATAGAAATTCAGTGAATATTGAAAGCATACCTTTCTTCCTGCTAGTAAAAATAAAACTGAGTTAGGTAGGCTCTATTTCCAAACTGTTAAGTGGCAGTATTATCAGTATGATGGAACCATTGCTATTATTATAGCCTTGAGCTGTTAACACAGTCAACGACAGTACATCCAGAGGCAGTTGAATTTGTTGATGAACTAACATTCTAAAAATGATTTGATAATATATCCATTACTGGAAGAAACCCATAAGTTACACACGTTCAAATTATGCATTCTTATCGTTCTATTCATATGATTGTACGCTCTTGATTTCTGTAATCTAAACAGAGAGAATGGCCTTTATCAGGAATGCTTGAAAGTTTTATCTGCAAATATAAACAAATAATCATCGGAGATTAATCATAACTTTTCATGAATGTGTTTTAGCTTATTCACTCATCCCGTATTACACTTACATCGTTCCCACTGCTCCAGCGAAAGGTAAAATGATATTTTATTACTGGCAGACGTCATATCGTCTCGCACAGCGCAGACACGAACTGACGTAGGCGTGGAGGTAGGTGACATTATAATAAAGAGGGATAGCTTTATATGTGGAACTATACGTCTGACAATTACTACATAAGTGGACACAGGAAATAAGCTAAACACAGCATAGGGGTTTTAGAGGAAGTTAAAATGCCACACATTTATTTTAAGGTATAGGAAACACTTCAGGTATAAAATTCCCTCTTTAAGTATATCTTTTTTGTGCATAATACGAGCAATCGGAAAGTCTTGAATAATTGTTGTTTTTTTATGATATTGCTATTAAGAGAGTTAAATGAAAACTGAGACGAAGACTACGGGACTGCTAGAGGAAAATGCAAACAGTAGAAGATAAACCAAATGACAGATACTATAAATCATAGTAAGAAACACTTAGAAGTGTTCGAAATTAAAAAATTGATCGATAGCTCGGCTAACACCCACTTCTAGTGACTATTCCAGTTTATGCTTCAAGAAATGTTCGTATATTTTTTTCATATTGATTCATATTGTTGCAGGTATGTATATCAGCAGCTGGTATACAGCATTAGAAGATTTGCCACTTTACAGATTTAATTTCAAAACTGGAACACCTGAACATTAGAAAATACGGCGAAGGTTGAAATCGTTGAAAATGCTCTGAGACTTCTACTCTATTTTTGAATCTCCTATTCCTTTCTTTGTCTCCATCACTCTCCTCCTAATATATCCTTGAACACTAAGGCCCTTACTCATTCCTCTCTTTTAGCGTTAAGAGACGTCTTTTATCGACTGCTATCTGCTATCTTTTAACGACTAATAGACGTCTCTTAACGCTAAAAGAGAGGTATGAGTAAGGGCCTAAGTTATTAAAATGTCCAAAGTGGTAGCGCATATAACATACACCATGTATATAACAGTGCAGTGATATATTTAATATATCTTTAATTGTACTGTTATTACAAATCCTTCGCGGGCTATATACATATGTCTGTACTTTGTATACTGTATCATTATTACGTTTGTTGAATAAATTATCTCGTAACACTTATACACGTTGATATTCTTTTGCCCTTTGCGAATATCCCGAAAGATAAGAGTGGTAGTGCATATAACATACAACACGAATATTATATTGCAGTGATATATCTAATATATCTCTAATGGTATTGCTATTGTTAATCTTACGTAAACTATATATGTATGTACAACTGTACTTTATGTACTGTATGAGTATTGTATTTGTCGAATATATGTATGTATGTATGTACACCTGTACTTCGTATACTGTATTATTATTGCATTTGTCGAATAAATTATCTTCTAACACTTACAATACGTATATATTCTTTTGCCCTATCCGAATATCCCAAAGTACGAATGAGTTCTGTCTCTTTCTTACTCTCCTCCGACCTAAGAGCAGCCTTTTCCTTCTCCTCCAAACTTATGCTTCTACACCTCTTTTCGGCTATGCTCTTTTTTCTCTGTCATTACTTCCATTCCATCAGCAAGTTGCAAAACGTAAAGGGATTTTTTGAAAGTGCCCTATCGCAATTTGATCTATACCAGTCTCTTCCGAGATACAGCTGGTTTTCGAATTACTCTCGGAATTATTTTATTCGAGAAAGTTCACTCGTTCTCTCAGAGATGGCGCCACATATCATGCCCAGGAGGTGCTGCCCTCTTATCGGCAAAAATTCGAACTAATACGAACTCTTTAATAAAAATTAACCCACTGAAGTTTCGACGATGCGATTTTCAAATTACATTTGAAATCATTTAAATAGATTGATAGAATTGATGATAAGAATTTCTTTAATAAGAATAAGGATGCTGTTAGGACGGAGAAGAGTAAGAAAGAGACAGAACTCATTCGTACTTTGGGATATTCGGATAGGGCAAAAGAATATATACGTATTGTAAGTGTTAGAAGATAATTTATTCGACAAATGCAATAATAATACAGTATACGAAAAATTCGACGATGGGATTTTTCCATTGAATTTAGAATTATTTTATTCGAGAAAGTTCACTCGTTCTCTCAGAGATGGCGCCACATATCATGCCCAGGAGGTGCTGCCCTCTTATCGGCGAAAATTCGAACTAACGCGAATTCTTTAATAAGATTTACTTGCGAAAGATTAACAATAACAGTAACATTACAAATATATTTCATATATCACTACAATATAATATACGTGTTACATGCGTGTTATATGCGCTACCACTTTGCACTTTTCTTTATTCGAAACAAATTTTACAAACATAGTTTTTGAGGATATATTAAGAGGAGAATGATGGAGATATAGGAAGGAATAGAAGATTCGAAAGGTGTATAAGTCTTACAAGATAATTTATTGGACAAATGCAATAATGATACAGTATACAAAGTACAGATGTACATACATTGTATATGGCTTGCGAAATATTAACAATAACAGTACCATTAAAGATGCATTACATATATCACTACAATATAATATACGTCTGGTATGTTACATGCGCTACCACTTTGGATTTTACTTTTTCCAAAAGACATTTTAAAAAGTGATGGAGATATAGGAAGGAATAGAAGATTCGAAAGGTGTATAAGTCTTACAAGATAATTTATTGGACAAATGCAATAATGATACAGTATACGTATACAGTATATGGCTTGCAAAATATTAACAATAACAGTACCATTAAAGATGTATTACATATATCACTACAATATAATATACGTGTGGTATGTTACATGCGCTACCACTTTGGATTTTACTTTTTCCAAAAGACATTTTAAAAAGTGATGGAGATATAGGAAGGAATAGGAAATTTGAAAAGTGTATAATTGTTGCAAGATAATTTATTGGACAAATGCAATAATGATACAGTATACGTATACAGTATATGGCTTGCAAAATATTAACAATAACAGTACCATTAAAGATGTATTACATATATCACTACAATATAATATACGTGTGGTATGTTACATGCGCTACCACTTTGGATTTTACTTTTTCCAAAAGACATTTTAAAAAGTGATGGAGATATAGGAAGGAATAGGAAATTTGAAAAGTGTATAATTGTTGCAAGATAATTTATTGGACAAATGCAATAATGATACAGTATACAAAGTACAGATGTACATACATCGTATATGGCTTTT